GCCCGCGCTCCATGCCGCGCGCGCTGTGCTGGGCGGGCGCTGTCCGGGCGCCGCGCCGGGCGCTCCCGCGCCTTCCTCGGCGAGCCGGGGTCTCCGCGCGCAACTTTCTCGGCCCCTCTTCTCGCCGGGTGGGGGTCGCGGCGGGCGCTTTCAGTGCGCGGGTCGCAGCTCTCTCATTGTGCGCCAGCGAGGCCGATCGGGCTGTCCTTTTCCTCCCGCACTTAGTCTAGGAGGAAGAAAGCAAACAAGACAGAGGAGTGAAGCCCCCGTACATACATGCGCCGGGGGATGTCAGCGCTGCTCCACCTTCCAAACAGTCACAGATCAAACAGTGTCACCGCTGGAGCGCCACTTTGTGCCCCGCGCTGCCCCCTGGGGGGGGGGGGACTTGGCCACCGAGATCACCGCTTCTTCGGAGGCAAATCTAATGCAAACACATTTCGAGCATGGATTTTTGGCCGGTCTTGATCTTCCAACAGAAAATTTTGAAAAATATACAAAAAGCACCCCTTTCAAAAAAAAATAAATAAAACCATCAACAACCCGGAGAGTGTGTGCCAGGGGGGGTGAAGAGCAGACATTCACTGGGTGGACGAGGTAAACGTGAAGTGTCCCCCCCCCCAAACTCCAGGGAGAGAGGAGATGCACTCTCCCTCTCTCCTCTTTTCAGTGAAATATAACACACATTCGGATCGCAGAGCTTTCAGACAGTCTCAACTGATAGACAGACACATCGAGCTGCTTTTCCTGCTTCAGTTTTTACTCCTCCTCCTCTCGCCAACGTCACCCTGACAATTACAAATAGGTCTCACACAAACCATACCTGTCAATCTTTTTAATTGCTTTGTTTTCTTTTTTTTTCCGGAGCTAAACAATATGACACAGAAAAGAAATCTTAATACAGCATAACATAAAAGATTGCATGGTGGAGGAAGACATTCAGGGGGTTGTTATTGTGATCCACTGGCTGATCCTGGGTAAAACCCATGTGCTCTAAGTCAAGTTAAGCAGACTTTGGTTCCTGTAGTCTTAACGTTCCCCTCCCCCGCTTGAACATGCATACACGCGCCCACGTGGATGCAAAGCACCTTTGAGTGAAGCCTGTCCTACATTAAAAAAAAAAAATACCCATGTCACTTTTGCAATCTTAGTTTGAAGCTTAAAACTTGGTTGGGAAAAGACAGTGTGGTTTTTATATTTTGGTAGTTCGTGGGTTTCTACAAATTTGTAAATTAAAATGTACACCTTAAGTGGAAATTTAGAGATAGACTTGGCTCATCACAGAAAAATCGACATATTTAATTTGCCCCCTTTACGAAAAGTGAATTATTTGGTCAGTGCACACAATTAGAGAGAAAACTGACAAGCTAGAACGACAAGTCTTTCTGGCTGGGTTAGAAAATGAAGTCTTAATGTATCATAGCAACTTCTCCAGGTCTATTACGACCCGGGCAGCTCCACCTGGCACTTTAAAATGTTTATGTGCTCTGGGAATTTGGCCCTCTAGTTTCAGTGTGTATTCACTCTCGGTGGAAACTCGTGGAAAAACATGAAATCTAGGCCAAGATAAATAAAATGGCTTAGTTCCTGCAACTTGCACGGGACAGAAGGAGGGCACAGGACACAGGCTAGGCGCTCCGAAGACCGGAAGCCCAAGACCTGCGCGCGGGGTGCACGGCGAGGCCCTGACCCTGGCCGGCGCTGGTGCGCGCGCCCTGGCGCAGGAGCTCCCGGCCTGGCCCAGGCCTCGGCTTGCCCTGGCGCCCCGGCCGCGCTCGGGGTTGATTTGTACCACCTTGCAAGGAAGTGAACGCTTCGCACGGGAAGGGGAGGCGCCTGCGCCGGCCGCCGCGCCGCTCGGGGACGCCCGGAGCCGCCGCCGCTCAGGGCCGAGGCACTGCTCGACGCGCGGGCCCCTCGCTCGCTCTCCGCTGCCCCCACCCCCGCTAGAGGAGTCAAATCCGGCTTTCAGAGCGAGGGGAGGGTGGGGATATCCGGTGCCTCTCCTGCGCCAGGAGGAGGGGGAGGGTGGAGAGGATCCTCGGCCAGTCTGTGCCAGCACATTCAAACCAAAACAAAAAGATTAAAGAGGCAGTGGCTGGGGCGGACGCGATCGCAGGCCGGGACCCGGGCGGACGCGACCCGCTTCCTCTAGGGCTGCGCTACTGGCGGGAGCTGCGCGCGGCCGGGCCGAGGGCGGGGGCGGGGGCGGGAGCCGAGAGTCGTGGGAAGGGGGAGCCGAGGGGAGGGCGCAGGCCGGAGGAGGGGCGGACCCGCCCGCGCGGAGCCGAGCGGAGCCGAGCCGCGCGGCCCAGGCTGGGCGCGACCCCGACCGACGGAGGCGGCGGCAGCGCACACAGCGGGACGAGGAGAGGGCGGGCCATGCTGCGACTGGCGCCCGCTGGCGCCCGAACCATCGTGGACATGTCTTACTCCCGCCACTTCCTGGACTTCCAGGGCTCCGCCATCCCCCGAACCATGCAGAAGCTGGTAGTGACGCGGCTGAGCCCTAACTTCCGCGACGCGGTTACCCTGCGTCGGGACTGCCCGGTGCCGCTCCCTGGGGACCGAGACCTTCTCGTCCGAAACCGGTGAGCCCGGCGCGCGTTCCCGGCCGCGGCCTGCGCAGCGCCGCTCCCGGCTGTCCCGGGCCGCCTGCGTTCCCACACTGCGGCGCGCTCCCGGGCGCACAGCCTGACTTTACGAGATCCCGGGAAGTTGAACCCGCCGCCATCTGGCGAAAGCGCGTGTAATGTGACTTGCTGGTGTGAATATCCGATGCCACCGAACCCCTTCTGGACTGGGGGTTATTTTAATTTGGGATTCCCCTCCCCTCCCTCAGCCCTTCCTCCTCCCCCCTCCCGCTCCCGAAATAAAACCGATCAGACCCAGAAGGGGAGGCTTCCTGCCCAGCCCACCCACGCGCACCCACAGTTCTGCGTCGACAAAATCTTTAGTGGAATAGGAACGTCCCGGACACGAACTGCGACGTTTAGGTAAATGTGCTTCGCAGGAAGGCGCGGGGGACATTTTGGTTAGCTTTTGGCTAGCTTTTCGTGTCCCCTCCAGGTTGGCAAAGGCGGAACCCTTCTATGGGAATGTTGAACGCCCCTCGCCCTTCTTGTTTGCGTGTTATTGGTGCTGTGTGACTGTTGTCTGTCCCCTGAATACAAGGGCACGCGCGTGGCGCGTGTCTCGGGCAACTGGGCCAGGGCTGGGCGGAGGCATGGCTGCATTTGTTTGCCTACATGTTTGCGGATATTACGGTGTCACTGAGGTGGCTCGACCTAAGTCTTTTCCACTCCCCTGGCCTTCACCTTAAATGCATTTCCACCTCACTAATTCTTAGTAACTGGTGAAGTGACTGGAAGGAAAAAGCCCTCACACTCTGTTGGAACCATACCTGCAAGAGTCTCCTGCAGGCTTCCCCTCAGTGCCAGACTTGAGGCGGGGTATTCCTCTGTGCCCTATGACCTGCCACGTCCCATCCAAAGCGTTCCAGCGTTGCGTGTTTCAGACTTGATAATATTGTCGCAGAGAGGAGTTCTGGCTGTAACTAGGCTCTAAATTGTGTGCTAAAAACTGTAAGTCCCTAGCAAAATCTGAAGGACAGAACGTACCCTGCCCAAGTAGCTGCGTGCAGTGTTTTCATTAGTACAGTTCAGAGATTCCTATCAGCCTTCCAAACAGAATAATGATAGTGATATTAAGCTTCTGGAAACCTGTTGGCAATGTAGTGATTGAGTGAACCAAGGATGAAATTGAGGGGGGCTAGTGGGAAGTGCCTTAAAAGTTAGGGTGTGAGCGTGTCCTTGAAGGCGCTGCCTTGGCCTTGCACATGGCAGAGGACTGCTTCATTGTGTGAGGAATGTTAAGGCTGTGGAGCGTAAGAAAGTGTTTTCAGCGGGCGTTCACATAGAACATACAGAGTGCACAAGTGATCTGCCTGGAGTTAGACGAGATGGAAAAGCTTTCCAGACAAACTTTAGAAGGAGGCATTCCACGCAGGCTTTTTTGTGATACCGTGTTTAGTAAACGCTAATATAAACAGAACTAGGTTAATAAAATCCACTTTTTCAAAACAAGTGTGAATAGAGAGGGATGTACAGGAAGGGACAGGTCCAAGGAAGGTATGAAGTTAAGAGAAGTGACCAACCACAGTGTGGTGGGACTATCTGCTGCCACCTGTGGAGGTGACTGTGCAGCCCAAACTGCTGGGTGTCCCCACTCTACCTGCCAGCTGTAAACTCTTAAGTACCTTTTTTCTGTCTTCAAGGGTTTTTGTCACTCCCTTTCCATTCTGTCTCTCTCCCTCTCACTCTTCTCTCTGTCTCTCTTTCTCTGTCTCAGTCTCTCTGTGTCTCTGTCTTTGTTTCTCACAGGGTTCCCTGGTTGATCCCAAAGCCCAGGGATATGGATCCTGGCACTAGAGCACTGGCTACCACATTTAGGTGCCTCAGTTTGGGTTGCTTTAATAATGTGTGGTTCATTTTTCCTTCACATATGCCAAGAATCCCTTTAATATAAATAAGAACAGCATGAACTGTTTTATCTTGAACCCAGAAAAAAAAAAAAAATGGAACCACTTTTGTGCAAGTTGGGAAGGGACAAGAATGTGAACCCCCCTTTCCCTGCTCCCCCTATTACCAAATTACAGAATGGTCCCCCATTCTTTCACACAGTTCCAGTAGAAGTTTTTAGGAAGTTCCAGTTACCAGTTTTTAGGAAGAGAGGTTTAATAATTTACTGCAAGTTAGTTCATTTAAATCCTAGATCAAATCTCCCTCTGAGCTGTGCTAATTTTATGCAAGTACTTCTCATCTTTATCATAATAAAATCTGCTTTGGAGTAAATGGATGAAGCCCAGATTCTGTAGTTTGGAAGGGTATTTGCAGGTTTTAATTGTGTCCCATCTGACTTTTTTTTAGTGAACACCTGAACATTTCATTCCTGTCTTTACAAAAAATACAAATTCTTTCTTCACAAGGAGGGGAGTGCTTGTAAGCTGGACATCGGTTTAGAATAATGTTAACCTTTGAAGGGAAGTGTGAGCAGGGGTATATGAGACCCCTGTAGGGTGTGTAGGTGATGCTCTTTAACCTTCCCACCTCGTTATCTTGCACCCAGGACAACTTCTGTACTCCCCTTCTTTACAAGTTGCGGGCACCTCTGGGTCAAATCAGTTTGTTCGATATTTTTAACTTTTTTGTAAGACGGTGACAGATTATTTCGTTTCCAAATATTTCTAGCGATTTACTGCCCGAGTGTATGATACAGAGCAGAGAGTGTAGGAATGGCAAAAAGACTGGGGATGGGGAAGGCTTTTTATGACGAACGGTTTGTTGCTCACGGGAGAGTAAAAATATTTCTGCTCATTCTCCAGGCCGAGATTTCTTTCTTTCTCTTTCTCTTTCTCTTTCTTTCTTTCTTTCTTTCTTTCTTTCTTTCTTTCTTTCTTTCTTTCCTTCCTTCCTTCCTTCCTTCCTTCCTTCCTTCCTTCTTTCCTTCCTTCCTTCCTTCTTTCTTTCTTTCCTTCTTCCTTCCTTCCTTCCTTCCTTTTTAATTTTTTTTTTTAAAAAAGCCTGGTTTGAGCGATTTTGTTTTGGATCCCGGTATTGAAAGCTTTTGCTGTGCAGTGGAGTATTTGGATTCAGTTTGTTCAAAAGAAAGCAGGGTGTTTTGTTTTGGTTTTTTTTTTTTTTTTTTTTTTCCTCCTCTGCAAGATCTCCCTCTGGCAGTGAACAGGAGGAAGGGAGTCAGCACTTTTTAGTCTATATAAACTAAAAAGAGTTTGTATTTGAGAACTGCCCATCTAGGTCCCATTCTTATTTCTGGAGTCCCTAGATTTTAAGTCTTTTTCAGTGGATCCTCTCGTTGGATTGCTAGAATCTTGTGTCTTCATAAGCACCCATTTTCACTTAAGGTGGGGGGCAGTGGTGGAAGGCTCTCCGCTGCACATCCTTCGCAACCTTTTCCCTTTTTCCCCTTTACCTTCCTTTCTGTTCTGCGGCGAGGGCCCCTTTCCCTCTGAGACAGCTCTGCCCTTGAACTTGTTTCTGGTGGAGCTGCACCTCCGGCTGGAGACCGTGGTGCAGTTAAGCCCAAAGCCCAGGTAAGGACGGCCCGGCTCCGGCAGCGGCTGTCTGGTCGCTGGGAGAGAGATGTGGCCTCGAAACCCGGTGTAGGGGAGGCGGAGGCCGAGCACAGGGGACGAGGAGATACGGGAGGGTGCCGTGCTGGAGCGGAGCTTAGGCACCGCTCGGCGCCTCCAGCCCAGGTTTCCTGCCTCGACGACGCAGTGCAGATCATGTAGAAGACCGCGCGCGTGGGCTGGGGCAGAAAGCTGGAGTGGGTGGAGGCCAAGGTCACGTCTGGTTCCAGCCTAGGGGGGCTGTGACAGATGCGAGGCTCCAGTGGTTCTGCTTGCACCCCGGAGAATGTGTGTACCAGGTGGGCGCCCCGCAGCTGGCACAGGATTGAGTGTGGGTTCTGTTCTTCCAGCGCGGGAAGCCGAGGCCAGACTGCGGGCTTGGAGCAGATGGAGGTCACGCAGTCTTGAGTGGAGATGCGGAGGCGGTGGCATTCGGTGCTCAGGGAGAGGCCTCAAGGGCGCTCCAAGCTGATGCCCGCAGGCTGGAGAACTACCTGCTGGGCCTGCGGGTGGGCTTCAGGGCTCCGGCGCCTGCCCGCGCGGCACAGGCAAATAACCTCCGGGGATCCGGATCGTTGTAGTGTTTTAAACCCCGTGGTAAACTCAGGCTGCCCGCCAGACTGCAGCAACTGCCCTGCTGCTTTTAACAGAGCCCCACTGCCAAACTCGGCCTCTGCTGTCCTTGTCCAGCGCTGCGCCGCCTCCCCTGCGCTCTGCCCTCCAACATGCCCGCTCTCTCCCCACCTCTTCGCTCTCGGGAAGCAGCGAACCACGGCTCCAGCCGCAGGGGGCCTTGAGGCTATTTCCTGCAGAGCCCCCGCCCCTGGCTGGGAAGCACGGGGAGGGGGCGGACCCCAAGGGCCACCACCACTGACTGTAGTGAGAGTGTCCCTAGCAGCCCAGGAGGGGAACTCCCCGCAGAGGAGCCGGTGCTGTATGCGGTGGGGGCTGTAAGGCGCCTGGGGATTGAGGGTAGCAGGAAAGGGTTAACTGGGCAAAGGAGCCCCGGAACAGTCCTGGAGGTTGGGCTGGGACCCCTCACCACAGAGCAAAACCTGCTACCGTCTCCACCCCCACAGGCTCCTGTCCCAGCGCTTGCTGTACAGCCCCAGCCAGGACTGATGTCGGGCTTAGCTGTGTCCCAGGCTCCTCTGTGATGAGTCCAGGAGAAGCTGGCCCTTCTCCCTTCTCGAGAGGCTGGGCCCTGAGCATTGTGTAAACTTAAAAGAAAAATGGCAAGTCCTCCACTCTTCCCTAAAACTAGATAGTAGGGATAGTAGGTATTAAATGTCAGATGACTAACCCAAAAAAAGCATTTTTCCCACTTCGAATTATTTAGGATGTGGAATTCTGTAACATGTTATAGAGGCTATGGTGAACAGACTTCGGTGCTGAGCTTGCCTTAGAGAAAGAAACTATTTCCCAGCTTCCTCAGTGCCACAGTGTATAGAGAACTTCCTGCTCTGTAGATAAAAGGTAATCAAAGAGCATTTGTAATTGCAAAGTGCAAACAGTAAGTGTATTCCAGTGAAACTGTATCCTCACACAGTTTGGCTTATTAAGTTGAATTAAAAATAAATTATTTCAAAATAACTACTTCACAGCTTTCTTTTGCCAACAGCCACTACAGTCTTATAAGTTGAAAATGACATTGTTAGGATCCTCCCTTGTCTGTCAGAGCCACCTTGATATTTTTAGTAAATATTTTGCTCTGTGTATCAGGTTATTTTTTGTCACAAAGGATATGCTGAGATTTTTTTTTAACCTGGTACAAGTACCAGCTTCACAATTAAATTGATTCTGGATACCAAAATAAAACTAATCATCTGGTATTAATCAAGTTATGTCTCTGCTTCACGTTGAGGAAAAATACAGTGACGATTTGCCTTCCTTTTCATCTGAAAGGGACTGTAAAATAAATGTTCCATAAAAATTATTTCCCCAATTTCTACTAAATTAATCAAAATACATATTTTTTACACTGGACAGTTAATACCAGAGAGAAAATTTTCTGCAGCCATTTGAAAAAGCCAGGGCAATAGCATATAGCAACCCATACCCTTGCATGTTCCATCAATCTTTAATATTGTCATTACTATTATTATCTGGAGTGTTAAGTTGTTGCCAGAATCAATGCAAGTGTACTTTGAATATCTTTTATCCCAGTGTTATTTTAAACATTTTTGATAAGAAGGCATTAATTTCCAACTCAAAGCTCCAGTTCCTGAGGTTTTTTTTTTCTTTGTCTTTTTTCTTTTTTCTTTTTTTTTTTTTCTTTTCTTTTGAAAAAAAGGGGATAGAAATAAGGGGCATGTGAAATAATTCATTATGTGATTAAAATCATACAAAATTCCTAAATTGAGGAAAGAATAAAATATGATACAACTTAGTGCAGATCACTATTGAGCTAATATGCTTGTTTTCTCTCCCCCCCCCCCATGGAACAGTAGGACTAATTTTCCCAAATTGTATCAGATCCTATAGTTTAGCAGCCCTCAGAGTCACCAGAATCAGAAAGGTATTTTTTCTAAGCAGAGTATGCAGGCCTTCGCAAGGAAAATGTCTTAATCCCTTTGTGTATTTTTTTTTTCTTCTAGATTTGTTGGTATTAATGCTTCTGACATCAACTATTCAGCTGGCCGCTATGACCCATCGGTGAAGCCCCCCTTTGATATAGGCTTTGAGGGGATTGGTGAGGTGGTAGCCTTAGGCCTCTCTGCCAGTGCCAGATTCACAGTAGGCCAGGCTGTGGCTTACATGGCACCTGGTTCCTTCGCTGAGTACACAGTCGTGCCTGCCAAACAAGCAACTCCAGTGCCTTCTGTGAAACCAGAGTATCTCACCCTGCTGGTAAGCGGCACCACTGCATACATCAGCCTGAAAGAGCTTGGTGAGCTGTCAGAAGGAAAGAAAGTTTTGGTGACAGCAGCAGCTGGGGGGACGGGCCAGTTTGCTGTGCAGCTCTCAAAGAAGGCAAAGTGCCATGTAATTGGAACCTGTTCTTCTGATGAAAAGTCTGCTTTCCTGAAGTCTATTGGATGTGACCGTCCCATCAACTACAACACCGAGTCTGTTGGAACTGTCCTGAAATCTGAGTACCCAGAAGGTGTCGATGTGGTCTACGAATCTGTCGGGGGAGCCATGTTTGATTTGGCCGTAGACGCTTTGGCTACCAAAGGGCGCTTGATAGTAATTGGGTTTATCTCTGGCTACCAGAGTCCTACTGGCCTTTCGCCTGTGAAAGCAGGAACATTGCCAGCCAAACTGCTGAAGAAATCTGCCAGCATCCGTGGCTTTTTCCTGAACCATTACCTCTCCGAGTATCAGGCAGCCATGGAGCACTTGCTCAAGCTGTGTGCCAGCAGGGACCTGGCCTGCGAAGTGGACCTGGGTGACCTGTCTCCAGAGGGCAGGTTTACTGGCCTGAACTCCATATTCCGGGCTGTCGATTATATGTACATGGGAAAAAACACTGGAAAAATTGTAGTTGAATTACCTCACTCTGTCAACAGTAAGCTGTAAAAACAGAACAGTGACATAAATCAAAGGAGAAAGAAAGCGAGTACTTTATGCCTCAGAATTACTCAAATCAATTTATTTTAGTTGGTAGTGGATATAATATTTTTTAAAACAACAGTAAGGTGTTATGAATGTAGATGTCTCCCTCCTCCCCTGTCAGACCAAAAAAAGTGCCAATAAAAGTTCCCTCCATGGCTAAGAGGTAAAACATTTACATTTGATCCTTTCGTCATGGACCATCTCATTCCAGATTTTATTGTTCCAAGGAAGTAAATTAATTCCTGATGCAGCACCCGATCAAATCAGTATGTCTTCAGCTTGATGAAATTCTAAAATCAGTCTTGAAAATAGTTCAGAGTCTTCTTTGCTGAGGGAGACTTTGCTCTTGTATTAACAAGTAGTCTGCCAGTGAGAGGTGTAGCGCACGTCAGCCGTGTGTTTTCACAGTCAGTATCCTCAGGAAATAGCCCCGTTCCCTTTTTTCTGTAAATCACTAACAACTATCTAAACAGACATTTGGAGAAATCTCCAAATTTGTTTTGCTTGTTTTTAAAAAATGATTCAGCAAATACAAATGTATCTAAAAGAAGAATCTGTTTGATGGCTTTATCCACAATCACCCTGGTAAGATGTGTGCAATAGAAAATTTCCATGATCTTTGAAGTAGCCAGTTACTGTTGAAAACTGACACAAGCTAGGAAGTAGATTTTAGCAAGGGAAACCATAGAGTTTAAATGGGTTTTTAATATATGCTCATGAAAGGAAAAAATCACATGCTACTGTTACAGTGAGCCTTTGCCTACAAACATGGACCACAGAAGGGAACACGTCCTGAAGACACAGGTAGGAAGGGTTAATGCTGCACTTCACTTGCCTGTGGGTGGGGGGGGTCGTGTGTCACTCAGCAGCTTGCCCAGTAGGGACTGAAGTGATCTAAATAATAATGTATTTGCTTCAGTTGGGAGCATGTAGTCAGAGGATGTGGGTTTGTGTTCTGCTCATAGAAACACAAGCAGTCAGTGATCCTGTATTCCCATTTCACTGCTCCAGTGTCCTGGTGGAATGAGATGCCCTTTGTCACCATTGCCTGATCACACACACACACACACACACACACACATACACACCCACCCCTACTGACCACATGTGAAGAGTAGCTTTCTTTTCTGAATCATCACACAGCTGATCCACTTCCTTCTTAACCTTCAGTGCCACAAAGGCTGCTATCACTTTCATCATTAAGTCAAAATCCCACAGTGCTGTCTAATTGAAGGTGAAACCCACCAGATTATTTTTCACAATCTTGAGTTTCAGTGCATCAAACGTGCTCAGTAAAGAAGAATGTAATTAAAGATGCTCCAGGAAAGTTGGAACTAGATTTAATTCTTTTCTTGCATCTGAGGAGCAAAGAAATCCTACTGCTGAATAGCTGTTAGTATCTATTTTACAAGATTTACTCATTTTCAGGTACCTAATGTAGCTGCTAGCATGCATGCACAACAATACAATTTATATGGTAAATGGAACCAAATAATGGCTTCACTGAATGTTATGGCTGCACTGAAGGGAAATGTCACGGTAAATAGCTGCCAAATTATGGATCATGCCGAAGTGTCACAACTGCACTAAAGACAAATAGCACTAGAGGCTATTGCCACTATGACGCTTTTGAGTTATGAAGAAGGGTAGCAGCCCGATTCGAGGTTCTTTGTGTCCTCATCTTTGCAAAGGGCTACTAGTGCAGGGGACAAGAAGGGCTCATCCAGTGTGGTGCTCAGTTATTAATCTGTCCCTTTCAGACCTAACAGCTGTAGCAAAACAGAAAGGGACTTTCCTTCCTTGCTCTTCGATACACAAATAGGAGGGGGGTAGCAGGTTTTATGAATGTAACTGTGCTCAGAAAATGACTGGTAATGGAAAAATGTTGTTATAAAATAATCTAATCAAAAGATATTATTAAATTTAACATAGTGTATGTCTGAAAGGGTTAGTTGCTTCTTATGCAGATAGATGTGTGAAATCTAAGCAATAATGCACTTTCTCCCTCAGTAAAGACTTGAGGACTGAGGACATTACTAACTAAATTGCTTCTTCTAAACTGAAGTAAGTCCCGGTTTCTTTCATTTTAATGGGAGGGTAATAAAGATGAAAGACCAACATTTTATCTGATGGATCCCTTAAGCTACAGAATAGAAATTTATTATGTTTTGAGGGAATATACTAAGTTCAGCTATGTAAAAATAAAATTCAAACACCCAGGTTTAAAATAAAACATAATCGAAAAACCTCATGTTCTCACTGTCCCCAAACTGAGAAACTACAGTGCATGCTGTTTTCATTTATTCTTAGAAAACAAGCATGAAAGATTCTGCCCATTTAGATAATGCCAAAAATATGTTTAAATGCTTTTTTTTTTTTTGAAAAATGATTTGTAAATTGAAGGTCATAGTTCAGCATTAGTTTCATCCTATGGGATTTCTGTTCAGGACCAACCTCTGATGGGAGGTGAGCTTTTGTAAGCATTCCTACACCTTCTCAACTGTATTACATATCACCAAAAGCACATCCATAATTCAGAGCTGTTGTCAGTCTTTGTTTTAGAGAAGGGACAAGGGTAGAATAATCATAGTGGATAAATAATCACTCAGTTTTCAGTGTGGCCTTCTCTGCATGTTGGGTCTTGGGTCCCTGGCCAGGCAGGACGGAGGGTTTGTCTCGGGAAAGCATGGCATCCGAAGAACAGGAATCGAGTGATCAAGTCTTCTGAAAAACCAGATGCCATTGTTTCCATTCTGTTTTGCATAAAGAAAAGACCATGGATATCTTTCAGGTCCCTTTGACAATAACTGCTGTTGACTGGTTTCAGCATTAAAAAAATCAGGGATTAGTTTGCAAAGAAATGATAAGGTTGCACAGTATGTTCTATAAATTGTTATTGTATGATTCCATCTGAATGAAGTTTCTCGGGAGTAGAATAAATGGCCATTAATACTATGTTCAGTATTTATTCAATGAGCATGCAGTGACAAGTAGCTGCTGCTTATTAAAATGAAAAATCCCACATTACGGACTTGAGGAGCATTGCATTTAATGAGGATGTAATGTCTTCAGTACAGCACAGACCTTTTTGTGTTTCCCACCACAAGATGCTGGGAACTTGACAAATGATATCATTTAAGACACATGCCTGCCTTAGGGACTTGGTTTTTGGCTTCCTGTTTCTGGCTTTTATTTGGGTAACATTTGTAATGGCTACCCAACTTGTACCTGTAACATTTTAACCCTTCCTGGAGTTCTCATTCCGCATGAATTTACCGCAGTCAAGCTCAGCCTCTAAAATGGGGCAGCGTGCTAAGCACCTGAAAGTTTTTCTTGATTATCTTGCCACATGTTTGTGTGGGATAAATACCACATTTTAACTATATAAAATTAGATAATCCATGTGTAGCTTTCAGATAAATACAAAAGACCAAATGTTTCCTGAGGTCTACAAGTTTTATGAATGCAATTCAGGTGCAAAGTAGCCTTATTTGATGAATTGATGGTTTATCTACTCTCCACTCTCTTACATTTTGGTTATTTATAATATTTAGAGAAAAGCTATGCAAGCTTTATTAATGATTTTCAAGTTTTGGGTTTTTGTTCTTTTGATTGTTCATTTGTTTAGTTTTGAAAGCTACATTTTCTATAACTGTTTTCCCAGTTGTGGCCCAGAATTATTTAGTTCATATGTCTCTGAAAGTGAAAATGTAAAGCCTGATTATCAGTGCTCTAATGGTACGATCATGTTAAATGTTGAATTGTTTTTACCAGCCTTTTAGCATCAAGATATTTCAATTGATGAAAGGAGAAATGCTTGGTATGAGAGCTTTATTGGTGTTACCATGAGCAATCTACAGAAGATTAGCTAAAAAATTATGCAACATATATTTTACTGACATGAGCTCGAGTAAATTTTGGTACAGAGTTGATGTTCGGAGAAGTCAAATAAGGAGCATAAACGTGCCCTGGCGGCCGTACTTCCCAGCACGTACCCTTGACACTCTGGCTTGTAGACCTTCCTCTCAGGGCCACTCCCAGCATCCCAAGGGGACATGGATGCACTCAGAAAGTGTGTAGTGGGTTCCCCAAGCAGAAGGTAAGTACTGCATGGAGGACAGTTAGGAGGAAACCAATATGTGCTTCATATATGCTGAGAAGCCATGAGCCAAAAGCACAGAGATTTAAATGGCCCCCCAAAGTAAGAGTTTCCCTTCAAGGGTACTATTTGACAGTGTCTTTCTGCCAACATGAAATTAAAATAATAATTAAAACACACCCTGCTGATGGGTGGCAGCATCCAACATGAAAGACGGATTTGTGCTTAGAGCTCAGAAAAATGTTCCATGATATTGCCAGCTACTGTTTGTTGTTCCTTACCCTCTGCAAGTGAAGAGCCGAATAAGGTTGTAGAATGACTTGTGTGAACGGCTCCTTTGCACAGTGGAAGATGCAGGGAGATGTAAGGAATATAGGACACCTTACTTGGAAGCACTTGGCCAAACTTGAAAGATCCTTGCCATCTCAAGGGTGGTTGGTGCTAGAACTGAAAGGAGCTTGTGTCCTCTCGGACCTTCATATATGAGTTGCCTTTTAAGCAGCAAAATTTGGAGTGAGAGGGTAATCTCGGTCTATCTGTTCTTTAAGTAAAGAGTCTGAGACTCAACAGGAGCCTCATTTAAGGTTACAAATTCTGCTGGATTCAGAAGCCAGTACACAGAGCCCTCCCGTGCATCAGGCCACCTCTGCACTATCCTCTTTGCCATCTGAGGTCCCCCGGAGTCTGACTTGAGTGTGTGGCAGAACTGCAGCTGTTCTTTGTTAGGAATCTTCTTTAGATAAGATGATGGCGAACGCAGGGGACATATGGTTCTGACCCTGTAAGTGTCATCACCTGTTTAATCAAGCACAAAGTAGGGTGACAAATCATTTGATTCTGTGTCACCTAAATAACACACAACCTTTTGAAGCAAAACAACAAAAACTGGATGGAATTCATGGCTGAATACCCACCACTCATTTTGCTGATCAAAATGGTTGGTTATCCTTCCTTTGCAGCAAAATGTCTAGACTGTGAACTTGTTCACTGTACTTGAAGTCCAGTTCTCACTCAAAACTCAGTGCTGCCTGGGGCTCACTGGGAGCAGGAAGTGCCCAGAGGTGGAGGGACTCTGCTGAGTATGGACAAGCCTTCATGGGATCGTGTTTCATTTTCCAATGGGGCAAGAACCTCATCCTCTGCACAAACAACAGATCATAATTAAAGCTCAGAAGTAAGCCCTTCAGAACCACATGACATTGAACGCATGTGTCTTTCCTTGTCGTTTCTATCTTCTTTCCTTCAAACTCATGCATAACAAGCATACACTTTCAACTTTACATGAACAAATCCTTTCCCAGTAGAAGCAGCTTCTTTTAGCATTGAAAAACCACTTCACAGGAAAGGCAACAGTGTCAAAGGCAATCACACTTTGTAGGAAACCTCATTGCTCACCAGGGGACCAGCAGCTAGAGTGTTCTGTCTACATGTTGTTGGAATTTGCATTTGGAAATTGAATTGTCTCCTTGAGGGTTTTTACTCAATGTAACTTTTAGAGAATTCCTTAAACCGTAATATATCAGCGTATATGAATGAATTGAAAGAGTCCCAGCGTCACCCCAGCTATTCAGAAACTGCTCATTCTCTAACAGCAGTAAAATTAAAAAATCATTATTGAGGAATATTTATCACTGCTGCTTTTGCATGTCCTTTTTATAACATCTTGGATCTTATTTACAAATTTGGCATGTTGAATATACAATGTACCTTTCTTCACTACTTTAACTGGCAGAGATGAGTGGTTCCCATTTCAGAGATTAGAAAACTAAACCACAGAAATATACAAGATCATGCTATCGCTGGTTGGGCAGAGCCGGGGGTCCACACAGTGCTCAGACCAAAGCTGCTTTTCCCTAGGGAGAGGTGCTCTCCCACTTTATCAGACCCATCATACTGTGGCAATACCAGTCCTGACTCTGTAGCCAGGATGTGGTCTGGGAACCGCCATTTCCCAGGGCCCATGCTGCTGGGTCAGGGACACATTGGAGAGAGCATCTCACAAAACACACTTCCCCAGGCAGCTCAGAGCAGCCCAGACACTGCCTGGGCATGAGCTGTGAAAACGAGGTCTTTGTGTAATATGAAAATGGTTGCTTTTTACAACCATCTCAACTTCCCCCCAAAAGCAACCCTTTTAAAACTCACATAGGACATTGACAGTGTCCGATGTTCTGGTGATAGCTATATTTATACAGTTCGAACCGAACTGAAAGGAGGTCAGGAAGGGTCATAGGAGGGGGCTGGATGAGCAAACCCTCTACCTCAGAGGGTAGAGGCAGAGTCCACAGACCTCCACTCGTAAGAGTTCTCTTCCTTGGGCCAGGGAGATGGCTCAGAGGAATAAGTGCTTCCCCGGCAAGCACAAAGGCCTGAGTTCAATCCATGGTTCTGCAAAAAAAAAAAAAAAAAATCCTCTTTCTGCTTTTGTAGCCAAAGTCTTTGTCATGCCAATGTTCTCCGCCCCCTGGCTTAGGGTCACCAATTAAACCTCAGTCCTTATACAAGAGTATTAAGTAAAAATGCCAGCAGGTCTCTGTTGGTCTCCTATCATTCAGCACATTACATTATTAGCATAATATTTTACAATTATCCTGATGAAGGGGAGAGCGTCTGATCTATATCACCTTTGGATCAGGTCACTTGAAACATGCAATGTGGCACCACATGTCACCTTTACTTAAAGACTGACCTTCAGAAATTATAGTAATTTAAGAGGCTGTGGCCTTTATAAGGGGAAAGTTAAAATCTATACAAGTGCTTGTTAATATACCATCATTGTAATCAAAGTGAGAGCTCTCTGTCTAGGGTTAAATATAAGAAAACATCTTTGCCTCAGAAAGGAAGCTAATTCAGTTGCAGACAAAAACCTAATTTACAGATAACCATGGATCTGGAGGCAGGGACAAGCCTCGGGTGTGGAGATGGCTAGACCCCAAGTGTCCCTGAGCACCCCTCCTTATATTCACAGCAAGATGCCTGTGGTCAGTATGGCACTCAGTCTCCCAGGGCACATGCCATGCCTGCCATGCCTGCATCCCTTTTCTGCACTTTCCTTAGAAGTTCAGAGCTGAGAAGGACAGGAGTCCATGGGGCCAAAGGAAAGTCTAAACCACCACAGGAGAGTAAGTACTTCTGCTGTGG